ATCAGGTTATTAAACCAGGAGACTGTGAGTTCGAGTGCCACCTTAGGCACAAAGCCAGCTGGGTGACATTCTCCCTCAAAACTAGAAGGAGACAATGGACAGAACTATTCTGAATAAATCTCTTCTAGACAAATGTTTGGACAAATCTCTTATGGAAAAACCTGGCCAAGAAAAACCCCAGGGAGTTGTCCAGGCCATCTCTGAGACTCAGATGTAATTGCACGAGAATTCTCTTTCCTCGCCCCCAATACTTTTAGACCTGTCCTTGAGAAAGAAGGAAGAGCTGAACAAGCAATCATACATGGTTCAAAGAAGTAACAACAGCAGACACAATAAGGACTCTTCCAAACTCTGTTCCTGGTCTAAAGCAAAACTGTGTCCCAGCCAGCTGATTTGGCAGCCAGCTAAACTTATAATGCTAATCACAACAAGCACCATCTGGAGCTGGTAGATTGATCTGAGCTGGCAAATCAGTTCAAGATTTTGAACTCCCTTCTTTTATGAAATACTTTCCCCTTAATGCTTACATCTGGCTTGTACATAATAATTTACAGCATCCTCAATTGCCCACAGACCATGCCTGCAGAAACTTGTTCCTTCTCTCTGTTTACATGTATCGACTCATTCCTCCACCCACCGATTTTTCTCTCCAGGTGTTGCCTTCATTTTCTTGGGAAACAATTAGGCATCTCTATTTGTCAGCACTGACCCTGTGCTGTAGATACAGTACACAGTGGCCTATTGCATGAGACACAGTTGTAAATATTGTTAATTAGCAGGTTTTATGGTCAATTCAGTTGGAGATGCTTGGGGCCAGGAATACGATGGTTTCAAAAACTGGCTACTTTGCAAACCCCGAACCTCAACCACTTCTCAGATGAATACATTTTTAAAAAGGTGTTGTGCCCCCCCCCCACCATCTTCCTGGTAGATTGAAAAATATGCCTTCAAGCTAACCAAACGGTCTCTCTTAGGCTTACCAAGGCAGAAAGAGGCCTCTCCTTGACCACTGTGAATTTTCTACTGTCAGCCATAACTTTCCACCATTCAAGACAATGATGAATTTGCATACACATGGGAGGTTGAATAACTAACGTGTGGTGCAACCAGAACAATTTTGGACTAAACACACTCAANCATGGATGCCACAGCCCCCAACCCTTAGATTATTCCATTGCCTAACGGGGAGACGCCGGCCTCGATGATCGTCTTAATCGGCTGTTTAGCACCACGGACAGCACCCAGCAGCCGCTATTGGGCAAAGTTGGGCGAAAGAGAGCCGGGGAAGTTGCGATGTTGTGTTACGTCTGTAATTTTGCGGCACTTGGATAAGGTTTAGAGGAGGGGGCCGCTTCCTATACACTGAGGGACATGGCGCGATACCTCTTCTTGATTGCAACTCATGGAAAATGGCATTTGAGATAGAAGGATGCCTTTAGAATTTGTCCCATCTTAGGTTGCCTTGTTGCTTTATGCAACAGCTTACACTTGTCTACTACACTTGGTTGATTTCTTCACAACCAACACACGCACTCCCCGTCCTGTCTTAACTGTTAGAAATATGGATGATGTTCCCATTAACCAAGAACATATTTTGTATTTAAAAAGAAATTCACTATCGTTATATACAGGCTAATTAAACTAACAGAATGAAAATAATATTAAGTTATTTCTCAAATGACAATCAAATGCCCTCTTGCATGTAGAATGTAGTGGAGAAAATATTAGCTGGGTGGACATTTCCAGTTTTCATGGAGTCTGAAGTTCAGAATCCACATTCAGCCTTTCCATACAGGATGGGTGAATCTTCTTGTTTTCTTAATTTTTTTTGGGATATGAAGCCCTCTCCCCCACCCTCAAAAAAACAAGTCTCTGGATTCATCTAGATCAACACTATCCCAGCTATGTTTTGTTACTGCATCTGCTTCACATTGTGCATGACCGGAGACAGCCAACTATAACACTGTGAAGATACGCTGTTATCTGTTCCAGTGTTGTCAACAAGACATAGCCACAAAATCTCAAGTGTGCCCAGATCACCTTGTCTAACGTATGTTGTCATGTTAGACTGCAGGGTTTCAGTGGTGTGTCAACATCACTGCTGTATTTATCCCAAGTGGTTGCAAATCTACCTCAAATTACTTGCTAAAAGTAACCTACCAAAATATAACTCCAAGCCAAACAAATAGAGAGAGAGGAAAGTCACTGGGTGGAATGTTGGAAAAACACATAGAGCCCTTCTCAAATTATGATCAAATTAGGAGTTCTTGGGGGGGGGAGACATTTGGTCTGTTTTTGAGTACCCAGCAGGTAATCAGTGCCATCTAATTATCCGTTTTCTGCAACAACTTTTTTTTCCTGAGTCTTAACTGTCCTGATTCTCTTCCATACAAACTAGCCACAGACTGAGAAGATGTTTGTCTGATTTCTTTTCCCCCTACTGGCACTGCTTTATTCAGTATGTTGAATGAGAATTAGCTTTGAAAGCATATTTTCAAAAGAAGACAGAATGTTGGATAAATTCCATGGACAGGGAGTTGTTTTCTTGCATTTATTTAAGGACAAGGAGAAAATATTCTATTTGACAGGACCATTCTCTCTCCAGCAATTCACAGCCTCCCCAGCTTTCCAAGGGTAGAGTCCAGGAAGGAACCCTTCTGAAAAGGCTTTTTTCAGAACTGATGCACTGGTTCACCAATAAAGAGTTACCCTGCCCTTGAGAAACTGTTAAGAGAAATTCTCTCTTGCCTGAATAAATCACTCCATTCTCTACCCCACAAATAAATCACTCCATTCTCTGCCCACAAGTTGGATGGAGAATCTAGAAAGGTTGCTTATACTTAGCATAAATATAAGCTGTTTTCTATATGTTGATCCACTTCATTAGACTATTGTCACTATGATATCACATTCTTGGTAATTTATAGGTCGAGATGGCCCTTTAACTTCTCCACATTTACGACCGCGTCTCCTCAGTTACAGTGGGATCTGTCTTCCTCCTTCCTTCCTTCCTTCCTTCCTTCCTTCCTTACTTCCTTCCTTCCTTCCTTCCTTCCTTCTTTTCCTCCTTCC